TTTTTTTTTTTTGTGCATTATATTAAAAGTTGAAGCAGCTAACAATTTAAGCGTGTGACGATTTTTATTTTTATTTTATTTTTTTTCTGTAGGTTCTTTAAGCAACTCGTGCTGATATTCGCTATCCAGCAAATGGCCGCAGGGATGTTCAAGCTGATAGCAGGGGTTTGCAGAACGATGGTGGTGGCTGATGTCGGTGGCACTCTTGTTCTTCTTATGGTTATACTTTTAGGCGGTTTCATACTTCCGAGAGGCAAGTGATCTTTGTGTCGGCACTTTCAAATCATGTAAATATATGAAGAGGAGAAAATGAACTGAAAAATCTTACATTAGGTCCAGCCGACAGAGTGTATCTCTCATCAAATCATAGCCCAAATTCGATTTTTTTTTCCCCTCCAGCTGTTTTTAGTTCTGCTTTTCCTTAATATTTTTTAAACTTCTTACATTGTTTTACTTAGTTTTTAATATCTCAAGTAAGTTTTCGAAATGCAGACCAGATCCCGGATTGGTTGGGTTGGAGTTACTGGGTTTTCCCCTTGAGCTATGCCTACAACGCGTTAGTAGTAAACGAAATGTTTGCTCCGAGGTGGATGAACAAATTGGTGAGCCTAAGAACCTATGCATATTTTGTTTTGTATATTATTATTATTTTTTTATTTTCTTACGATTCATGTGCAGGCTTCGGACAATACCACAAGATTAGGCACAGCCACACTAAACCACTTCAACATTCCACCCGACGAGAACTGGTATTGGATTGGTCTCGGTGCTCTTATTGGCTTTACTGTACTCTTCCACGTTCTTTTCACAATCTCCCTTATGTATCTAAATCGTAAGTTATATACCGAGTATACCCTACTGCTAGCTCGTTTTTATGAGTTGATAGTTTATTGAATTTGGCTTTTCATATTTTCCATATTTTGTTTTCTTATACAGCTTTTGTGAGCAAACATGCCACAATAATATCTAAGGAGGTAGCGTCAGGAGAGACGGTAGCTGATCTTGATGGTGCAACAAACGATGCACAAAGTTCAACAAAGTCGAAGAAAGGGATGGTTTTACCATTCACCCCTCTCGTCATGTCCTTCGACAGCGTGAACTACTTCGTGGATATGCCATCTGTAAGAAAGAAGTTGTCATGAATAAAGAAACTATTTTTTTTTTAATTCTTTTTTAAGAAGATGAAATTGCTCTTTTATTATTTGATGATCTCTTGAGTAATATATTTATTACCTGATATGAAATGAAGGAACATGAAGTAAAAGAGGACAAACTGCAGCTACTCATTGAGGTGACCGGTGCATTTAGGCCGGGAGTTTTGACAGCATTAATGGGGGTGAGTGGGGCCGGGAAAACCACGCTCATGGATGTTCTTGCGGGACGAAAAACGGGAGGTTATGTACAAGGCGATATTCGGATATCCGGATTCCCCAAGAATCAAGAAACTTTCGCAAGAATCTCGGGATATTGCGAACAAACTGATATCCACTCGCCTCAAGTGACTGTCCACGAGTCGTTGATTTTCTCCGCCTTCCTCCGCCTCCCTAAAGAAGTAACCCGAGAGCAAAAAATGGTGAGGCTTTGTAATCGTAAGTTTTGAAAAATCGAAAACACAAAAAACCCACTAAAATTACATTGTATTTGTATTTGGAATAGGCTTTCGTTGATGAAGTGATGGACTTAGTCGAGCTAGATGATCTGAAGGATTCCATTGTTGGGATCCCGGGAGAAAGTGGATTGTCGACCGAGCAGAGAAAACGACTGACGATAGCCGTTGAACTCGTTGCGAACCCTTCGATTATATTCATGGACGAGCCGACTTCTGGCCTCGATGCACGTGCAGCAGCTATTGTAATGAGAACTGTTCGAAACACAGTGGATACTGGGAGAACCGTTGTCTGCACGATCCATCAACCGAGTATAGATATTTTTGAAGCTTTCGACGAGGTAAATTATTAGTCTCATGTTTTTTATTTATTTTTCATTAAGTCGGCCTTCTGGTATGATTCTGCTCTCAAACGAACCTTTTGTTGCCAGTTGCTTCTAATGAAACGAGGCGGGCAGGTGATCTATGCAGGACCATTAGGCCGAGAGTCGAAGAAGGTTATTGAATACTTTGAGGTAGATACTTCACTTTTTCTTTGTTCTCTTTTCCCTTTTTACTACTTTTTTCATTAAGAGGAAAATGACTAAAGATGCTACCTTTCGTGCAATATAGGCGATTCCGGGAGTTCCTATAATAAAGGACAAGTGTAATCCGGCGACATGGATGCTCGATGTTAGCTCGGTTGCAACTGAAGCCAGGCTCGGAATGGATTTTGCCGAACACTACAAATCATCAGCCATATATCAGTAAATTCATTCCACAACTCCAAATATGAAAACTTTATGTTCAAGTGGATATGTCAGTGTTAAGTTCTAACCCAATGTATTAACTTAGGCAAAACAAAGCATCGGTGAAAGAACTGAGCAAGCCACCAACTCCAGATTCGAAAGACTTGTCTTTCGACACACAATACTCGCAGTCGACATGGGGACAGTTCAAGTCCTGCCTTTGGAAGCAATGGTGGACTTACTGGAGAAGCCCTGACTATAATCTTGTCAGGTACATTTTCACATTGGCAAGCGCCCTACTTCTCGGCACAATCTTCTGGAAAGTCGGCGAAAACAGGTTGGTAAAACAAAATCCTTGACAACTATCCATTTTGTCGTTATTCAATTTTCATCTCGTTCTCTCTATATTTTTTGGTGCTTTTCAGGAATACAGATACAGATCTCTTGACCATAATCGGTGCAATGTATGCCACAATTTTGCTCCTCGGAATTACCAACGGCTCGACTGTCCAGCAAGTCGTCCTAGTCGAGCGAACCGTGTTTTACCGGGAAAAAGCTGCCGGAATGTACTCGGCCCTGCCGTACGCCATGGCCCACGTGGTCCTCGAAATACCGTACGTGCTCTTCCAGACAACATACTACACGTTGATCGTGTACGCCATGCTAGGCTTCGAGTGGACCGCGGCCAAGTACTTGTGGTTTTTCGCAGTGAATTTCGTCACGTTCCTCTACTTCACGTACTACGGGATGATGGCCGTGTCCCTCACGCCCAACCAACAGCTGGCGGCGGTTTTCGCGGGCGCTTTCTACGCCCTTTTCAATCTGTTCTCGGGCTTCTTCGTCCCAAGACCGGTGAGTTTTAACAATAAGAACACTCATCGTGTTTTTCATTTTCACAAATGCTAATCGTTAGACGGCCATATATTTTCTCATGAAAGTTGCATACACTTGTATTATAATGTCAAACTTTAGTTTATACTGTAATTTTACAGTATGTACATTTGTTGGAAAGGTATGGCTGCCTAATCGACAGTGACTTTACTAAGTAATAAGTCGACCATTTCAATTGAGTGAGCGTTTAATTCGTTTTTTTT